ATATGTATATCATATCATCATGTTGTACATTTTAAATACCTCACAATTTTATTTGTCAATGATTCCTTAATAAAGCTAAAAAAGAAAAAGAAAAAGAAAAAGGAAAGAGAATATATTAAGCAAATCCAGTAAATAAAAATTTGATTGAAAAGTGTTAAGAGGTTGTGATTCATTCTATGCTATGGGACACAATTAAATGCAAAGTTTCATTACATCTAAACCATAGTATTATTTACCTATAAAAAAATCCACTCACACTTATTTTTAAGGACTAAATCTACATAATAAAAGGCCCATTAGATAAAACTTTTGAGTTCACCTAGTCAAATCTAGTTTTTTTACTTAGGGCACCAACATTTACTTCTATACCAATGACAACTGTATCCAAGGGTCAACAATTTACTTTCCTGAAATTCATCAATATTCAATGGAAAGGATTCTTTAATAACACAATCACATTTTTTAAATAGCCAATTTAGGGCAAGTAGGAATAAGTGATGAAGAAACTGAAGAAATTATGAAGAAGTACTCTTCTATATAACTCATTAAGGTGGTAGTGAAGAGCTTGCTCCTTCTAAAATCTTAGGGACAAGCCCTAATGCTACAATAGTCACGGCTAAAGAAAGTTGGGTTTGAAGTCTTAAAATAGGGGGAACATAATTTTTCTTTCTTTTTTTTTTTTAATGTTTATTCATTTCTGAAATACAGACAGAGGCAGAGCATGAACAGAGGAAAGGCAGAGAGAGAGAGGGAGACACAGGATCGGAAGCAGGCTCCAGGCTCTGAGCTGTCAGCACAGAGCCCAATGCGTCGCTCAAACCCACAAACCTTGAGATCATGACCTGAGCCGAAGCGGGACGCCCCAACTGACATCAGACTAACACTAACACTAACAGATTGACACTAACTGACTGAGCCACCCAGACACCCCAGAACATAATTTTTAATATAACTCTCATGTTTTCACCTGAGAAATCTTGCAAGCTAACCTAGGGAAATCTGCCAAGTACTGTGACTTGCTTCATTCAGTATAGCTCTCAACCCTTCATACTCAAGTGCAAGAAAATGAAAATAACACCACTCATTATATGGTGATTTTCAACAACTTACTGTGCTAAATGCATAATCAATCACCTTGTGTATAAAGAAATACTACTTTCTAAATTACGTGGTTCAAGTAACAATTCACAAAACAATCTACCCAACAACAAAGTGTAGTTCAAGTTTGTATGTAAAGACTACTATCAGCTATAAATCCACAAAAAAATGGAACTAGTCCAGGCAAATCAAACAAATAAAAAGCATCTGAACTTAAAAGCCAACTAACACAATAAAAAAGTAACTTTTATATATTTTTTTATTTTTTAAATGCTTATTTTGAGAGCACATATGCACGAGCTGAGGAACAGGCAGAGAGAGAGGGAGAGAGAGAATCCAAAGTGGAGTCTGCACTGCAGTGCAGAACCCTGCGTGGGACTCAATCTCACCAACCATGAGATCATGACCTGAGCCAAAATGAGGAGTCCACACTCAACTGACTGAGCCACCCAAGTGCCCCCCAAAAAGTAACAACTTTTAAAAGCCAGGTCAAATTTTCAGTTAAAATCTTCACATAATTGGGGCGCCTGGGTGGCGCAGTCGGTTAAGCGTCCGACTTCAGCCAGGTCACGATCTCGCGGTCCGTGAGTTCGAGCCCCGCGTCGGGCTCTGGGCTGATGGCTCAGAGCCTGGAGCCTGTTTCCGATTCTGTGTCTCCCTCTCTCTCTGCCCCTCCCCCGTTCATGCTCTGTCTCTCTCTGTCCCAAAAATAAAATAAAAAACGTTGAAAAAAAAATTAAAAAAAAAAAAAATCTTCACATAACACTACACATTATAAGTATTTTTAATAACTAAACCTACTAGTGATAGTTGTTTTTTTTAATGTTTTATTTATTTTTGAGAGAGAAAGAGAGTGCAAGCTGACAGCAATGAGACTGATATGGGGCTCGAACTCACCAACTGTGAGATCGTGACCTGAGCTGAAGTTGGACACTCAACCGACGGAGCTACTGGGGCACTCCAATGGTTTTAAATTTTATCTAAAACTGCCTGATGAGAGCAAGTGACTAAAGAAGTATTGAATACCAGAGAGGAGTAAATGAAATAATCTTGTCAGGAGATCAGTAAGAAATAAAAAATTAATTAAGTAATTTAAGAAGTCAGTAAAATAAGTTGGAAAACTATATAAACTTATTTTAAAAATGCTTATGCATTTCCAAAAATACTAAATTTTAAGCTTTTGTAAGTGTTCAAAAATTACCCTAATTCTGTAGTTAAAAGATAAAGGTAGTAATTATTCTAAAAATCAGTATAAATTAAAATACAATTTAAAGACTTATATGGGTCATATATAGGAATATCTTTTTTAAAAAGGCAATAATAGTGGATAAAAGAAATTTGCAAAATTTAATTTTAATCTGAAAACAATTACTGTAAGACTATTTTAACCCATTTGTTAGGAGACCATTATACATTATTATTACTATTTCTTTTCTATTATACCTAGATAGTCACTTGATAGTAGTGGGTAGCTCAGTTGGTTAAGCAACCAAGTCTTCATTTTGGCTTAGGTCATGATCTAAGTCATGAGATCAAGTTCCACATCGAGCTTATCGTGGATGGAGCCTGCTGAGGATTCTCTTTCTCCATTTCCCTCTGCCCCACCCCCACTCTCTCAAAATAAATAAACATTTTTTTAAATGAGCCAAACTGTGTTTTAATTTTTTAAAAAGTCAATAATACAGGATAGAAATCTAACTTTTGTTTAATATTTTAAAATATTTTCTACATAGTTTCCCCAAACATTTACTATCATTCTGACCAGCATTAAAGCTTTTAAGAAGGGCTTAATCTAGGCCAACAATAAAAATAAATAAATAAGAATGAAAATGGTCAGAAATAACCACTCATATATCACACATGCACATGTATTTATAACAAGATTACTTTTAGGTCGCACATTTAGTTTTTCCTTACAACTTGATACTGGATACAAAAAACTCTAGAAGTCATAAATAAAGAAAACAAAGTCCCCTCTCCTTGCCAATATGGGTATACGACTGCAGTAGATTTAAGTTAGATACAAATATATATTACATACATGTCTCTACTAGTATATAAAATGTCAGTAAATATTTTTCCCAAAAGGGTGGGGAAAATTTGCTCTCTGAAATTGAAAGTTTTTGTTCATGAAAAAATATTTAAATAGCCCCAGTTAGAAAAATATGTTGTTGAAATTATAGTTATATTCTATTTCAGTTGTTTCCATATGACTAGTTTATGACACTCAATAAGCCTTTTTGATGAATAAAATAAAAATATGTGCTGTGCCAAAATTCCATGCAGCTTTTTCAAAATTAGGGCTACTACACAAAGCAATCTACAGATTCATTGCAATCCATATCAAAATTCCACAGGCATTTTTCAAAGATATAGAACAAACAATCCTGAAATTCGTAAGGAGCCACAAAAGACCCCAAAAGCCAAAGCAATCCTGAGAAAGAAAAACAAAGGGGGAAGCATCATACTCCCTGATTTCAAACTGTACTACAAAGCTATAGTTATCAAAATAGTATGGTATTGGCATAAAAAAAGACACAGAGATCCATCAAACAGAATAGAGTCCAGAAATAAACCCACACATGTATGCTCAATTAATCTATAACAAAGGAGGCAAGAACATTTAACAGGAAAAGGACAGTCTCTTCAATAAATGACGTTGGGAAAACTGAAGAGCCACACACAAAAGAATGAAACTGGACTGCTATCTTATGCCACTCACAAAATTAATTCAACATGGATTAAAGATGAGTGTAAAATGTGAAATCCATAAAACTAGAAAGAAAACAAAGGTGGTAAGCTCCTTGACATCAGCCTTGGCAATGATTTTTTAAATCAGGCACCAAAGGCAAATACAAAAAAACAAAACTAAACAAGTGAGGCCACATCAAACTAAAAAGTTTCTGCACAACAAAGAAAAGCATCAATAAAGTGAAAAGGCAACCCCCAGGATGTGAGAAAATATTCGTATGTCAGATATTGATAATAAGTTAATAACAAAAATAAAGGACTCCTACAACTCAACAGCAAACACACACACACACACACACACACACACACACACACACACAATTTGAATAAAAAGGGGGCAAAAAAATGGGCAGAGGAAGTGAACAGACTCTTTTCTAAAGAAGACATACAGATGGGCCATCAGGCATATGAGAAGATGCTCAATATTATTCATCATTAGGAAATGCAAATCAAAACCCCAAAGAACTGCCTCTTCACACCTGTTTGAATGGCTATAATGAAAAAGACAAGAAATAAAAAGGGACACAGATATAGAGAAAAGGGAACTATCATGCACTGTTGGTGGGAATGTAAATTGGTGCAGCCACCATGAAAAAAGGTATAGAGGTTCCTCAAAAAGTAAAAAATAGAATACCATAAGATCCAGTAATTCCATTTCTGAATATTTATCCAAAGAAAACAAAAAGACTAACTTCAAAAGATGCACCTGTGTTAACTGCAGCATTATCTACAATAGCTAAGACATGGAAATAACCTAAATAGACATCGACGGATGAATAAAGAAAATGTGGTGTGTATATAGACAGTGGAATATCATTCAGCCATAAAAAAGAATGACATCTTGCTATTTGCAACAACAGGGATGGACCTAGAGGGCATAATGGTAAGTGAAATAAGTCACACAGAGAAAGGTAATTATCATTTGATATCACTCATGTGGAATCTTAAAAAAAAGAAAAGGAAAGGAAAAAAAAAAACCACAAGCTCACAGATACAGAGAACAGGCTGGTGGCTGTGGGGTGGGCAAAATGGGTGAATGGGGTCAAAAGTCACAAACTTCCAGTTATAAAATAAATACCTCATGGGGATGTACTATAAAGCATGGTGACTGTAGTTAATAATTCTGCAAAATTACAAATACCATATATTAAAAAGTTGCTAAGAAAGTTTATCTTAAAAGTTCTTATCAGAAGAAAAAAATGTTTTAAGTACGTATGAGGGATGTTAGGTAGACTTATCATACAGTGATTATTTTTGCAATGTATATAAATATCAAATCATTATGGTGAATACCTGAAACTAATATAATCTTACATTCCAAGTATACCCTAATACAACAAAACTGGGGCAATTAATAGTAACACTTAAATCATAATAGCTGAGTTCAAGTTTAGTACCTAAGTAATTTATTTAGTTCCCTTATTCTGCTATATTATTCTATGAAAAAAATAAATTCAATCTAAACTACTTGGTGATCATTATTACTTCAAACTATAAAGTTTATGTACAATATTGCATATTGACATAAGTATCCTCTATTATATACACCTAATTATCTATTAACATTCATGAAAACAATACTGTCCCAATCAGGTACAATAATTTCTTTCCATTTTACATAAAAAAAACAAAAAACAAAAAAACAAAAAAAACTTCTAACCTCGCTCAACAACTAATTTCAAACACATTCCAAACTATGAACCTGGAAAAATGTATTAGAGGCACATTTTTTTGTTTTTAAACAAACTCAGTATGAAACCTTGGTTTTTACTGGGTCAGCGAAATTTTTTTGTGTTTGCTTTTTTATGGCTATTTGGTTGACTTCCTTCTGCTGGGCAAGTTTAGCATGCAACTCTCACTCTAGACAACCAAAAACCCACAGACTTAAATTTTCTGAAAACTTCACCTGGTTTTATCAGCGGAAGACACCATAACTAGCACCACGAACAACAGTACTAAATTTTAACACTGTTCATTAACAGTTCCATTTTCCTGAGCTTGCGTTTGTTCTTTGGCATTGGCTTAGGATATAATCCATTTTTCAGAAGGTGTTCCTTGCTGAGGCGAATTTGAGCACCATGCTGCAGCTGGAAAGAGCACAAAGCTTGAAGAGGGCGAAGCAAAGTCTGTGAAGATAAAAAAAGATAGGGTCTGTAACAAATCATCATATTCTATTTAGCTTTTTCTTCAGAAACAGGGATTATTATGTTTATTTTTATTATTATTGGCTTTTTACCATGAAAAGTAACAGGCACTCTACTAAATATAAATATATGACATCCAAATATACAATTTCTTTTAACTCATACCTTACATACTGCTAAGGAGTTCCAGTAAAAAGACACAAATAGTTAATTTCCCATACAGATACTAAAGTCCAAATCTACATTTATACATTAATACATTCAAACACCTCAAGAAACTGTTGCCATTATAACATTTAAATCTGTAACAAATAGAGTAAAAGAGACCTTTAGACACAAATTAGTTAATTTGGTTTCAATCACAGACTGATGCAAGCTTCCTGTTACCTGTAACAATCAGATGAAGGTTCACAGGTTTACGAATTCTCTCACAATGGTCCAAGGACTACACACAAGTTAGAAGATACCCAAACCTGGGGTTTTTCTGACTGTATCTGTACTTGTCTACATTCAAATACCTACAGAACCAGCCATATAACATAAACATTTAAGCCGGGTGGACCCACACGATAACAAATATGGTAGAAGTTAAAAAACAACTAGAGCAAATGCCCTACCTAAAGTTTTTCAAGGTCAAAAATAAAAATAATTTAAAAAAACACACACACACACACAACAACAACAAAAAAACCCCACTATGTCATGCATTTAAAACATTTTGAGTCAGATGCTTTCCTGGGGCCTGAGACCCCTGATTTAAATCTTCCAAATAACAATAGCAAACGTGACAAGGAAACTGTTTGTTTGTTTGTTTGTTTGTTTGTTTGTTTGTTTTTTAGAAATAAAAGGAACAAAGAAAAAAAACTGATAGATGTAGTTGCAAAAATGTCACAATGTCTATGTGAAAATCTATTCCCTTTCACATACAAGGTAAGTGGCAGCAAAGAGCTTAAAGGTTTTAATTTTACAATGAACTCAGACATCGTGGCAGTCACTGGTGGTTGCTTCTCCACACTCATTCTTTTCTTCCTTATCATTCCAAATGTCATTCAAGGTGCCAATGTATCCAGCTAGTAATACTAACTGGCTAATGACACAGTCCATATAAGGAAAGGTAAGTTGAGGTCCTTGGGTGGGACTTCCAGAAACACTCTTTAAAATGGGACAGACTCAGCAGGCAGGGGCTTTTATGCTTTCTTCTTGCCTGGAACAGGACTGTTAGAGGTGGGATAACCATCATGTGACTACAATGCAATAAAGACAAAGATTAAAGTCAAATACATACGATGATGGGCAGAAAGAAAGAAGAAATCCCCAGCCCTGGACTGCTCACCTCACATTACTTATTTACAGGAGAAAAAGAAGCCTCTATATACATGGTTCAATCCCCACAATAAAGGCTCTGTTACATGCAATCAAATTGACATACCCCAATAGGTAAGAGATAAACATCATGGACAAGTTCTGCAGGACATTATCTTGGAAAGCCCCATCTGTATGTTATCATAATTTCCTTTAATGTCTTCATTTCTTCAAATAAGAGAGGGAATGTGGAAATGACTATATATTTCCTTCCTGAGTAAACATAGTGGACTGACTGGATTCTGAAACATCATCCCTAGAAAACATACCTAGGACATTATACAGATGGAGACAACTGAAGGAAGGTTCTATTGCTATTTAAGACATTCATTAGATTCTTAATGGACAGAACGCTAATATTCCTATTGTTAAGGGCCTTCAACTTTTATCTCCTGAAGATAAGACTCTACCAATTCTCTGAGGTAATTAAGAGAATGATTTTTGGAGACAGATCTGGATTAGACCCGTACTCCATCTGTGTGATCGTCAATACTTCGGTTCACAAATAGACCGACCCTCCTTCTTGCTACACAGTCAGACTACATTTTCCAAACGCCCTTTGATGTTAGGTATGGCCATTATGACTTGCTCTGGTTAAGGAAACGCGAGCACAAATAACATGTGTCACCTCTGGGCAGTAGCTAGAAAAGCACGTACAATTCACCACCTCCCTTTATGCTTTCCTTGATGAAAGGAGAATGACCTATCTACACAGTGCCTCCATCAGCCCGGGCCCCTAAGCAACTGCAGCGAGCAAAAGTCATCCCGCTAATCTCCCAAAGACAGTGAGAGAGAGGCACAAACCACTGTTGTGTTGTGCCATTCTGATTTTGTAGTGTTAGGTTACTGCAGCTGCATCTGGCCTGTCTTGACTGATGTAATCACTTGCTGGCTAGGTGTTCCCGGATAAGCCACATAAACCTCTCCTTTCCTCATTTTCTTCATCTATAAAATGAGGAAAACATTGTCAACCTTACGACATCATTATTAGGTTAGTTACACTAAGAGGACTAAGAGGATGCATTGAACATGTTCGGCACACTGCATGATAATAAGCGATACTGCTTCTGTATAAACTAACAACATTATATCTGAGGCAACGTGAAGCTATATATTTGTTCAGAGGAACAAAGAAATAAGTTTGTTTCTAAAAATTTATTTGGGGAAAAATCAGTGTTTTTTAAACCCTTTTGTCTGCAGGTATAAAGTGACAGTTCTGAACGGCCCATGATTACCAACTACTGGCACTTAGACTGTGCACAAAGCTTTTACCACATCTAGCTATAAAGGTTCATAAGCAGAAACGGTTCTATTATTTAAAAAATACCCAAGCTTGAGCTTTCCAAGGTGTGAAAAGCCCTGGTAAATTTTATAGTAACTGAATGAAAATCACCAATCTTTAATTCAAAACTTTTGTCAATTTATGGGGAAGAACAGGGGTGTGGTGGGGGGGTGGGGCGGGCAAGAAAGAACAAAGGGGTTAATTCTTCTGGAGTGCCTGGTGTCAGGCGATTAACAAAAATTACTCCATCCAATTCTCACACCAATAGTAGAGGTAACTCTTTCTGGTGTATTATAGATAAGCAAACAAGCACAGGAGATTATATGAACTGCCCACTGGCACAAAGTGGTGATGGTAAGTGATGAAGGTTTAATTCAAACCTGCTTCAAAGCTCACACTGTGCTACTCACAGTGTGTGAAAAACTGCTCAGGAAGAAAGGACAAGGATGAATCAGCAGACTAAGAAGGCTATTCCATGCCAAGCTCTTTATTTTGAGGAGCCTTATCTACCTCCATAGAATAAAGCTAGCTGAAGAATTACCACTCTCCCCCACTGTATTGGTGTTTCATTAGGAGACCCCTTAGAAAAAGGTTACCAAGGAAAAAAAACGTGTGTCGTATCTTTCCTCCCCAGAAAGGAGAGAAAACACCTAAGTTCAGAACAGCTGGTAATTGTATTTCCCAGGGGAATGAAATGGTATTTTGTTTAAATTGTAGCTAGATGTGAACAGGCTGGACTTGGGATTCTCCACCGAGAAAGCTAATTTTTGGTCAGCTGGAATAATAAGCAATGTGGGATGGTCCATTATGCATTTCTTCAGCTCATGCTCCAGCCAATAATCTTATCAGCACCTTCCAAATCCCACGTCTGATTGCCAAACATCCTTTTTCTACTCCTGGTCACTAAAGTATGACTACTCCTGGTGACCAAAGCAAACAGAATGTGAACTTCAGGACCTCACCATGACTTTGGGATTTCATATTCAGCTTGATCCACAGAAAACAATAACAAAAGCTGAAGAGACGACAGATCCTGTCATCCTTCTGTATCTTGAACTTAGCCTGTTATCAGACATTATACTCAGAACATAAGATAAGCTTCCCTGCTGCAACGGTACACTGACTAATACCAGAATCATATATCTTATGAAACTGGGAAGGGTGGAGCAGTAGCAGGACAAACGCCATCCCAAACCCTAGCCCTGCTGTATTACAATGTTATGAAATCCACCACCACTAAGAACATTAAAGCTTGTTTAGAACTTAAGTAAAGATCTGATACCAATTGTAGAAATAAGACATACAAATCCACAGACAATTCTTTTCAGAACCCAGAGAAGGAGAGGGAATAAAGTTTCAAATCCAAAGCCAAAGAATATTACATTTTTCCCCTCAAGATTTGAGCTTTTAATGGGTCCTTGGTCTGATGTTGGCTGATCTCGAGTTTTACATCAACAAAAAGGAAACTACAAAGATTGTGCAGAAAGCAAGTTTAAACAATAGTGCAAGTTTATTGTGCAGAAAGCAAGTTTAAACAATAGTGTAAAATAAGCTGTAAAATAAGATACCTAGAAACAGTATATTATCTGTGTTCAAGAAGGTATAAACAAAACAGAGAAAGGACTATAGAGGTGTATTAAACGCTATGTCAATGGTTAGGTACATGGGAGCAGATGGCAAGGTTACAGTGGAGGGAGAAAGTCAGGGAACACTCTCTGCTCATTTGGAATAAAGATCTAGGGCCCCTCATGATTTTTTTTTCCTCAAAGGAGAGAGAACAGTGAAAGAGAAATTGCCTAGACCCAGTACAAAGTCTACTTACACAGATCACATAGGAAAAAAAACTACTCAAGAAAGCCTACTTCTTTCAAAAGAAGGAAAGCCTCCAACTCTGCAGAGCATTTTTCATAGCTTAGGGTAGGGAAGAGGGAAAAAGCAATTCAAGGCTTGCTTCTGGCATTCTTTCACACTCTGTGTTCTGGGGGTCTTTTGTTCTTTTTCTTGGTAACCAATTCAGTTACTGTGACCTGAGCTTTTATCCATCAATGAAATTTCCTCAATGAGTAAGGCACATTCTTATAATAATAGTAACCATAGTGTATAATGAGAGAGAGAGAAAGAAGGCAGGAATAAGTACTATGTGTGTGTGTGCTCGTCAGAAGGGAGAGTTATAAAACTCCATTTAGTTACGCTCATTATCCTCTGACTTATCTTCTCAAGTTGTATTTATCGAAAACCTTCCTTCGGTGATTAAAAAACCCTAACAATTTTTTATTTTGCTATTCTTTCTTCTTTGGCCTTAAGTGCAGTTTCCTACACACTCCAAAAGACTAAGACGTTTGTGGGCTCATTGAACGTTATTCTTTACTGATGATTAATTATATATGAAATCATCAGGCTTTCATGGAAATTAAATAAAATGATGATTGCAGGTTATAACCTTTTCATATTCTGCAGGTGTTTTTTCTCAAAAACTTGTCTTTTTATGCTCTCAGCAAGTAGTTAATAAGATACACAGAAAGTTGGTACATTCTCAAAAGCACTAATGAAAAAAAAAAGTTGTTGTAAAACGTTCTTTTAATTAAAAAGAAAAAAAGTTGTGTACAAGAAAACACAAAATCCTAAAAGAGAAATACAAAATAATAAAAGAAAAATCTAACAGAAAAACTGTATTTAATGTGCTACTTAAAGGCAATTTAGCTTATTATAAATGCTGTTTACACAGCTTAGAATGAATATTTAAATAACGCAATCTGGATGCTGAACTAACACAGAAAAACACCAGCGGGGGAAAGAAGGTTATAACAGTACACAAAATTCTATTACAGATACACTCTATTTGACACTGGAGCTGCAAATTTCATAGGTTATGCATTTCTAAATTTCTAGATAAAATCTAACCAAACTGCTTACTTTCAAAAACAATATAACCTTCCAAAGACATACCTCCTGTATATAATCATTTTTCTCCAAAATGGAAAGAGCAGCAGCTGCACATTCCAGGGTAGAAAGGCACCTATTAGTCGGTTGTGTCCGAATTACATACTGACTAGAAACGCTAGTTTTTAACTGCACCTGAAACCAAAACACAGAAAAACAGAATGTAAGTTTTGTTTTAAATTTAAAATTATACAGTCTGTGGGGGTGCCTGGGTGTCTCAGTCGGTTGAGCGTCTGACTTCAGCTTGGGTCACGATCTCGCAGTTCAAGAGTTCAAGCCCCACATCGGGCTCTGTGCTGAAAGCTTAGAGCCTGGAGCCTGCTTCGGATTCTGTGTCTCCCCCTCTCTCTGCCCCTTCCCTGCTTATGCTGTCTCTCTCTCTCATAAATAAATAAACTTAAAAAAAATTATAAAGTCTGTGTTTTAAATACTAGTTCACTTCCTTCCAAAATCGCCAGTTTAAAAATATTAAATGTATTAATATCTTCTATACATAATATCCTCTAGTTATTGTTATTGTTAAATACTCAGAGTACAGTTACACATATATCTCACAATGAAAATATAACCAGAGTATATGCAAATTACTACAAATCATAAATTAAAAGACTAATAACCCCTTCCCAGGAGGCACAAGTGCGAAGACACCGCACCAAAGAAAATATAAGAAAGGCAAATAGGTACATATAAAAGCGCTCAACACAAAGCGCCTGGGTGGCTCAGTCGGTTGAGCAGCCGACTTCAGCTCAGGTCATAAACTCACGGTTTATGGGTTCAAGCCCCATGTTCGCTTGGTGCTGACAGCTCACAGCCTGGAGCCTACTTCAGATTCTGTGTCTCCCTCTCTCTCTGCCCCTCCCCTGCTCATGCTCATGCTCTCTCTGGGTCTCTCAATAATAAATTATTAAAAAAAATTTTTTTAAGTGCTCAACACGACTAAATGCAAATTAAAATCACAATGAGATAACTCTTCACACTTGCTAGAACAGTTAAAATCAAAACGACTACCACCACCAAATGGAGAGAATATGGAGCAAATGAAACCCTCATGCACTGTGGTAGAAGTGAAAACGATTTAATCACTTTGGAGAATTGACAACTGGGTTTTTTATTGTATGGTTTAGTCTTCCATTGTTTCTTAATATAGACTGACAGGGGTATGCCTGTATGGGGGTGAGTGTGTATAAAGAGATGTGTGTGCCCACACACACACACACACACACACACACACACACACACACAGGTGACTGACACCTGATGACTGACAGTCAGAAATGGGAAAAGCAATAGAAAACCAAATGTCAACATTCTGGCCTTTTGATTCCTATTTTAATTAAATGAAACTCAAGTAATCTCACACTCATAAAACCATATTCCTAGCCACACTGTGAAAAGAATCACACTTAAGATGTGTGAGTAGGTAAGAATTTAAGTTTTTACTCATTAAATATGTAAACATGTGGAATGAGGGGGTGGTGTCTAACTCTTACCACGTAGTCACTTAATAAAATCAGGTGTTGTCTCTCATTTTCTGGTATCTCTGAAGTTCTAACAGTCTCTCATTCCTTTACAGCATTAAAACTGTCCTGTCTCTGGACCCTTGTCCCTCAGTCCTCTTCCTCCCTTGTTTCTCTGAATGCATTTTGTCCCAAGAATTCTCTACAACTTGTATCCTTTCTCTCCTCAGAAGGGGTAAGATAAGGAGGACAGGAAGAGAAGGGGAAGGGAAGGGAAGGGAGAGGGAGAGGAGTAAAGTGGGCATCATAAAAGATTCATTACAGGGGAACCCGGGGGCTTCACTCAGTTAAGTGGTGAAGTGTCCGACTTCAGCTCAGGTCATGATCTCATGGTTCATGAATTCGAGCCCCACATCGGACTCTCTGCTGTCACTGAAGAGCCCACTATGGATCCTCTGTTCTCCTCTCTTTCTCCTGCCCTGCTCGCTCACATGCTCTCTTTCTCTCAAGAAATTTACACACATACATAGTAAATAATAAAAGATTCACTACGGAATGTGTTTAATTTTGGAAAACATTCTTTAAAACATATTTAATAACATTTTAGTTAAAATCACTCTGCATTTCTACCAACGTAAAAAGATGGAAAACGGAGGGAGGGAAGAGATGGAGAAAAATGGTTGAGAAACTGCAATGATCAAAGAAAGCCCATGATTAAATAACTGTAAGAATAATTCATAATGCTGATTAACTGTAATTACCAACTGCTTTGATATGTCATCAGGTCAACTAGAAAACCGAGCACAGCCAACTACTGCTTTCAATATTCAGTTCCATCACTGGAGAAATTTATAATAAACATCTGATTACAACAAAATCGTTGGGAAACATGAAAAATTCACAGTGATTTTTGTTTATTGGAACAAATTTGATTTTTAAAAAATAAGTTTGGAAAAACCAAAATTAAAAAATATAAAAATAAATTAAGAAGAAGTTTTTTATTTCAGTGAGTAGCTTTACTTCTTACCATGGCCCACATGACTGCATGAAAACTCAGAATCTGAAATTTATCAAGTGTTAGAAGACTTCAAAATGTCCTTCACAAATTATCTCTCCAGGAATTATCCAGTAACCGGATATATTAAGAGTAAATAACTAAAGTCTGTACTATGATTAACAGACATGTTATATAGCATGTTAATGGGATCTTCTCACAATGTCTATTATGCACATGTGCTATATCACCTTCATCACATTTGATATGAGTGGGAACAAAAAGAAATCCTGTCAATCCATCTTCTTGAGAAGTCATAGGCACAATAATAATTTGTCAGAAAGTGACTTGCCTTTTTTTTCCTTAACTTTTTTTTATTCTTTATTTTTGAGAGACAGAGAGACAGACCATGAGCAGGGGAGGAGCAGAGAGAGACACAGAATCCGAAGCAGGCTCCAGGCTCTAAACTGTTAGCACAGAGTCCATTGCAAGGCTCAAACCCACAGTCCGTGAGATCATGACGTGAGCTGAAGTTGGAAGCTCAACGAACTGAACCACACAGGTGCCCCAGAAAGTGACCTGTCTTCTTAAATAAAAGTTCAGAAATCCGAGGCAAAATTTACAATTCTCAGAAAAGAAAAAATTAAAATTGGATGAAAGTATGAGGCTCTATGGAAAGACCAGGATTTTTATATCAAACCTGACAATAGCTAACCACTTAGTTTCAATAAGGTCATTTTGCTTCTCAGTTCCTCTTCATCGACAAAAATCAGATACATGGACCTGAGGGTGTAAAACCTAATCCTAAGATTACATATAATATATATTATTAACTATAATTATATATTAATTACATATCACAATACAATTAATTATATATTAATAATTTCAAGTTATAATATAATATGATTGTTGTAATATTGATATATCATATTATATAGAAACTTAATTTCCAAATATCAGAAGCCATGCTGATTCAAAGAACACTACAGTAATTTTGATCTTTTTGGAACTTGGTTCTCCAAGGGTTTAGACTGTTTGAGTACTCTTGCTGTAACTTCTTGAGGAACAGGAAAATCAGTGCTGGGTTTAGAATTCTACTGGTATGGATTCTAAGCCTATACTGTAACTCCCATTTTAGAAACACCCAACTCTTCCAGTTCTAGATCCTGCATTCAGTCTTTGCCAATGATTCCCTGAATTGCCTAAAATTTGAATTCCTGGAAACACTTGTTGTTATAATGCCTTCCTTTCTTCTCTAACATTAAATCTTCAATATATATTTAATATATAAGAATACCAGATAACATACCTAGGAATAAATCTAACCAAAGAGGTGAAAAATCTATACACTGAAAACTATAGAAAGCTTATAAACTGAAGAAGACACAAAAAAATGGAAAAAGATTCCATGCTCCTGGATAAGAAGAACAAATAGTTAAAATGTCAATACTACCCAAAGCAATCTACATATTCAATGCAGTACCTATCAAAATAACACCAGCATTCTTCACAGAACTAGAACAAACAATCCTAAAATTTGTATGGAACCAGAAAAGACCCCGAATAGCCAAAGCAATCTTGAAAAAGAAAACCAAAGCAGGAGACATCACAATCCCAGACTTCAAGCTATACTACAAAGCTGTAATCATCAAGACAGTATGGTACTGGCACAAGAATAGATAATCAATGGAACAGAATAGAGAACCCAGAAATGGACCCACAAATGCATGGCCAACTAATCTCTGAAAAAGCAGGAAAGAATATCCAATGGAATAAACACAGTCTCTTCAGCAAATGATGCTGGGAAAACTGGACAGAGACATGCAGAAAAATGAACCTGGACCACTTTCTTACATCATACACAAAAAATGAACTCAAAATGGATGAAAGACTTCAATGTAAGACAGGAAGCCATCAAAATCCTTGAGGAGAAAGCAGGCAAAAACCTCTTTGATTTTGGCCGCAGCAACTTCTTACTCAACACATCTCCAGAGGCAAGGGAAACAAAAGCAAAAATGAACTGTTGGGACTTCATCAAAATAAAAGCTTCTGCACAGCAAAAGGAACAATCAGCAAAACTAAAAGGCAACCAACAGAATGGGAGAAGATATTTGCAAACAACATATCAGATAAAGGGTTAGTATCTAAAATCTATAAAGAACTGATCAAACTCAACACCCAAAAAACAAATGATCCAGTGAAGAAATGGGCAAAAGAAATGAATAGACACTTCTCCAAAGAAGACATCCAGATGGCCAATCGACACATGAAAAAAAATGCTCAACATCACTCATCATCAGGGAAATACAAACCAAAACCACAATGAGATACCAACTCACACCTGTCAGAATAGCTAACATTAACAACTCCGGCAACAAGAGATGTTGATGAGGATGTGGAGAAAGAAGATCTCTTTTGCACTGCTGGTGGGAGTGCAAACTGGTGCAGCCACTCTGGAAAACAGTATGAAGGATTGTCAAAAAATTAAAAATAGAACTACCCTACAACCCAGCAATTGCACTACTAGGCATTTATCCACGGGCTACAGGTGTGCTGTTTTGAAGGGACACATCCACCCCCATGTTTATAGCAGCAATATCGACAATAGCCAAAGTATGGAAAGAGCCCACATGTCCATCGATGGATGAATGGATAAAGAAGATGTGTATATATATATACAA